AATAACCACTATAACTTTTGCTATTATATTAAATTACCAATATTTAAAAAAAAGCAGCTATAACATTTTATTTAATTTCTACTTTAGCGTCATTTATAATTTTAACAGGCCTAATATTTTGCCTTGAAACAACTTTTAATTTTATTTTATTGTTTGGTCTTTGATTAAAATTAGGAATTTACCCAATAAATTACTGAATAAATTTAATTATAAAAGAAATTTCATATGAAATAATATTTACAGCCTTAGTATTAGTTAAAATTACACCATTAATTATATTTTCAATAATTATCCCAGAAAATAAATTAATTTTATCTATTTTATTAATTAGAGGAATTACACCTACTTTAATAGCTTTTAATACTAATTCCTATCCCCTATTATGAAACTACTTTGCTTCCAAACTTTCAACGCGTCGCCGAAAACGTCATTCATCTTTGAAAACGATGCACGAATTTCTTATGATCCGACGGAAGTCAGTTCCCGATTCCCTATTCCCGCGAAATTCGGGACGCGAAGAATTCTATCGGCGACCGACAATCGATTCCCGCGAGTTCAATTTACTGTTACAGACTCATCGATCGCGTCCTGGTTTATGCTAAACGTTGGAATGAACGGTCTCCCGCGGATTTCAGATTATTTTGAAAACGGCTTTTCTGGGCTCGTTCACGCGTCGTTGTTTATTCGGCGCCGACTCTGAACGACATTAAATCAGTCTCTTTTAAATTCAACAATATTTCCGACCAACTTTTAACGAGCATGTGTATTAACACTGTGCCGTCCGCGGATCTTAGATATGATTCTTTTGTTTGACGCCGGCATAATAGCTCGGAAATTTTAGATTTTAAAAGAAATTTCGAAGATGGCGGTAATATAAATTCCTAAAATTAAGATACGTCATCCAAGAATTTTCGTACTTAATTCGTAGTTAAATAAGCACAATGCTATAGTTAGTTTGCTGCCTTTTAACACCCAAGAGATATGGTTCAAATGTTATTTCAGTTTTCTAAAATGGCACCAAAGTGGTACCACTGGCATACAACAGATAGTTTTTGCATGGCACCAACGCGATGCCACCGGACGGCATAGTGCTAATTTCCGCGACAATGTTCCAAGTCGTTCTATCGGTTCTAACATGAATTTAGGGTTATCTAATTTAGCAAACTAGGTTATTCAAATATTCTCGTTACGCTGGTTTTTTAACTGATACATCGATATTTTTGATAACTAATTCAATCAGATCAGCCGACGTTCCGAAGTTGACGTCGCGATTATTAAAAAAGAATCATGCGTGCCAGTGCACATAAATCTTTGCTCGTAATTCGATTCGCATGCCGCAACAAAGGACTTATTTTCGCCTGAACGGTGTCGAAGTAATTAAATAATTTGCCGCAATTATTTTCCCTGGATAACGAGCATGAAATATTTACGGTTATAACGCGAATAAATCCTGTTAACGATATTTCTATAGTTAACGCTCGGCAATTAGATAATAATAATGGATAAATTTCAATCGGAACACAATGACCGAGTTCGTCGATGATTTACGATAAATACATTAGGTCAGCGTTAATTGCAAAGTTTCCTGGAGCGACATAAATTAAGAAAACCCGGTGCCAAATTTATCCGCGACGCGGGGGGCGCGCCGCGCCGCGCGGAACCCGCATTAAATAGAATGCAAATTCGTCGTTTAATTACGACGAATTAATTGGCAAATCAATTGTGCCGAGTGTTAGGGGCCGTAAGGTTATCCCGCGAAATTAATAAAATCGGAATCGCTCGACGCGACGAAAAGACTATCGATGAACCGAAGCCTACTCCGACGACTACTCAAGCATGATCGAAAAACGGGATTATTGTGCTGTTCCCGTAAATTCCATAGAGTCCATAGTCCGCGTTATTATCGATGAGAGAATGTCGAAGCACAGCGACGGGCTAAACACGATGAAAGAATATCATTCATTACGGCACGTCGAACGAGTTTTCGGAATCCGTTGCAGCTGCCAGAAGTTTTCATTCGCCTGTCAGACCGAATTACCATTCGCGAGTTCCTGTTAGCGGCCTATACCCGCAATCACTGGCAATTGGGGCATTCAACGGACACGGGCGCAGAACCTACGGTCGAACGTTTGGTGGCGTGGCCTCTCTTTAAATGTTTCGCCGTCGGAACGCTGGTTTCGGGTTACAGCTACGCCGTTGTCCAGTTTGCGAACAGAAGCGATTCTGCGACACCATTTTCGTGGTCGCGCAAATTTTCTGGCCGAGTTGGCGATTCGACAGACTGTTTAAAATGTCCGCGAACAATTTGTTGCACAGCGAACAACACGGTAAAATGGCACCGTTTGCAGCGACTTCGTTGTCGGCCATTTTACAATATGAAACGCATCCGTAACTTGACGTTTTTGGTCGCATAAATTGCTGTTTATATGGACAATTGTCCTCGTGTCAATGTGTCAAAAAGTGACCGTTGCCGGTGAATAATTTATTATGGAGTCGGGACGACGATAAATTTGCGACGCTGTTTTCAGCGATTTTTATAAAAAGAAACGCATCGTGTAGCACAAATTTTCTGGCCGCGTTGGCGATTCGGAAGACTATTTAAAATGTCCGCGAACAATTTGTTGCACAGCGAACAACACGGTAAAATGGCACCGTTTGCAGCGACTTCGTTGTCGGCCATTTTACAATATGAAACGCATCCGTAACTTGACGTTTTTGGTCGCATAAATTGCTGTTTATATGGACAATTGTCCTCGTGTCAATGTGTCAAAAAGTGACCGTTGCCGGTGAATAATTTATTATGGAGTCGGGACGACGATAAATTTGCGACGCTGTTTTCAGCGATTTTTATAAAAAGAAACGCATCGTGTAGCACAGTTTTTCCGGTTGCATAAATTTTTGCCTGTAAAGACAATTAAAAAAGACGTCGTGGTCAGTGATTCATTTATTATGGGGTTGAAACGACGATAAATTAGCGGCACCGTTTTCAGCGATTTCGTTGGCCATTTTGTAAGAAAGAAACGCATCGTGTGGCACAGTTTTTCTGGTTGCATGAATTTCTGCCCGCGAGACAGATTAAAAAGACGTCGTCATCAGTGATTCATTTATTATGGGGTCGAACTAACAGTTTGACCTGCGTGATTGCATAAACGTCTGTCTCAATAACGAATTGTTGTCAATGAATGTTGTTATTAATACATTATTCATTACAGCGTGAAAACGGCGATAATATCTAGACCAAATTTCCGGCGCATCTGGCGACTATTGTATGATAATACTAGAAAATGATGTCAAAACTGATGATGACAAAATCGATGTCAATGACCAATCTACCATCGAGTGAAAGCAATAATCGCGACGAAAGATCGAGCCAAGATCAAACGTTGATTAACCGCGGTCGAATCTCCAGGTCGTTAGACTGATCAACTGTAAATGTTTGTTATTAAAAGTTGAGTGGTTCCGTGGAACATGATGGAAAATATAGGTCGCGGTGTCAGATGGACGATTAACTGTTACACGATCGCATTAACGGCGAGTTGCAATTGTTTTTTGGTTTTATTGGGATACGGTAAATTCTCTTCAATTGTCACTCAACAGGTACACTAAATTCATTGTAATTGACGCTAAAATTGCGCACAAAAATAAATAATTTGGGAAGAGGAGACACGATTATTCGAGTCTCGCGGCTCGTTTTTATAGTCGCTGATTGTCAATAACTATAAAAACGCGATAACTATAAAGCCGCGAGGCTCGAATGATCGTGTCTCCTGTTCCCGAATCGTCCATTTCTGTTCACCTGTCGAGTGACAATTGGAGAGGATTCACTGTACCCGGCACACTGCCGGCCCGCGTAAATTTCCCACGATATCCAAATCTCTATACCGAAAGTGGTTGTTAATACGCGGCTAATTAGTCGAATGTACAGGCGGATCGTAATGAACCGCATCATGCACGTCGCTTTCAGAAGCTGCACAGCTTATTATGTGAATTATGCAAAGGAACGGTCGTTCGAATGTTGCGTCCGTACTCGATGTCAGCGTTCCGAAAATCATTCCTCCGGCGTAATCTCGATTTACGCTGTCACTGAAACCGGAACAGTCGAATATATCTTCACCATTTATGTTTTTAGAAAGATGGAGAAGCATTATTCGAAGGACATAACGATATTCTTTTTAAATAGATTCATACTTTTATTTGTAATTCAGTAGACTTTTTTAGAGTACGTATCATCGACTTTGTATTTGATCGGTGTTGAAAATAAAAAATATTATTGTATAATGGACTTGTTAAACAAACGTGACAGGAGAATTGATAATGTTTCAAGAAAATATTAGTGGTGGTAATTATATGTGGTAATTATAGATTAATTTAAATAGCGTGACGAAGTCTTAAGCATTTCTTAGCACTACGAATAAATAAACTACGAATAACGAGTCATTGTGTGATAAGAATTTTAGTAATTATAATTTAGTTTAGTGTTCATAATAGTAGAAAGTTTTCTACTATATTTCTATATTATAATATATTAACGTTATAATATTTTTATATTATAAGATATTATAATATTTTTACATTATAATATTTTTATATTATAAGATATTATAATATTTTTACATTATAAGATATTATAATATTTCTATATTATAATTTTCTATAATTATAAGATATTATAATATTTTTACATTATAATATTTTTATATTATAAGATATTATAATATTTTTACATTATAAGATATTATAATATTTCTATATTATAATTTTCTATAATACATAAATATTTCATAAAAAATTATAGAAATATATGTATACATATTATGAAAATATTTTACTATGCATTCTTATATTATTTAAATAATATTTCTGTCATATAAAATACGCAGATTGCAAATTACTGCATTCGCGGGAAAAATCAGTGAACGATACCACGATTACATTATTCACGAATCAAAATTGTTTAAAGAGAAACAAATGTTTTCAAATGGAACAATATTCAGCCCCCACAATTTCATACGACGGGAAAACACAATGTCTCACATTATAGACTAAATTATGCGACAATTCTGCGGAGCTTCGACGACGACGCTGCAGCAAATTTTTCATTTACGTTTGCTCTTTTTTTAGGTACCCGAACCAGCGGAACCATGGACCGGAGTGAAGAAGTGCACGCAATTCGGCGGTTCCTGCGCGCAAATGGACTTTCTCACCCGCCAAATAATCGGCGGCGACGACTGCCTTTATCTGAACGTTTACACGCCGGCGATCGAGGTGTCCTCGAAACGCGCAGTCATGGTGTGGATCCACGGGGGCGGATTTGTTGCTGGATCCGCCGACGGCAAGATTTACGGGCCCGATTATATCGTCCGGAAGGACGTTGTTCTGGTCACGATTAATTACAGGGTCGGCGTCTTGGGTGGGTACCCGATATTTCGCGTTCTACGCTTCGAAATTTTCATCCGTTTGTCGTGTTTAATTATTATCAGCGCGATAACGGTTGCTCGAAATAAATTGCCATTTCAGCGCCTGACGTGTTTACCATGAGCGCATTTATGTCAGAGATAGCCGATACGATTCAAGAACGAAATCTACGTCTATGTGATTCCTTTGTCTTGTAACTAGTGCAGGCAATTTTTATTTTGCATAACAAGTTTACCCAGCGTAACCGTTACATTCTATACAATTTTTTCAAGTGTTTTTAAGATACTTGCATACGCACAGTTGCAGGAAAATCGACGTTTAGATGGAATAATCGAAGACGAACAATAGTAAGGAAATAATTTATCGAGAGTGTTATAAGATCTTATATTTTTTTAAATAGTCAATCTTCTCAATAACTTTAATTATTGGTAGGTTTACCTTCGTAAAAGGTCGAGATTTCTACACGAATTCGCTCGAAGTGCATTAGAAACGGTTGCGTAGAGTGTGTTTTAAAAATGGTTCAGCAAAATGCATTTCAAAGTTAAGGGTGGTTGCATTTACAAATTCGCATAACAAGACACAACAAAGCTAGAAGTCGAATGTCCATTTCCGAGATGTTGAAAATCGAAATGTCTACTTTGTAAAAATTGTTTAAAAATCTGTTCACGTTTTCACTTGATTATGCAGCAATCGGTCATCGTAATCGTTGTCCTGATATTTTAATAATAATACTTTCCAGCATACTTTCCCTCGATTTTGAGAACGATTTCTCGTTCGTTTCAGGTTTCCTAAATCTGGAGACGGAAGAAGCGCCGGGCAATCAAGGCCTGAAGGACCAAGTATTGGCGTTGAAATGGGTGCAGGAGAACATCTCGAATTTCGGCGGGGATCCAAACAACGTCACGATATTCGGGGAAAGTGCCGGTGCTGCGTCCGTGCACTACTTATGCATATCGCCGATGTCTCAAGGTATGGTTTCCGCGGTGTTTCGACGGGTCGGAAAATTTTCAGCGACGTTTACCCTCCGTGCAAAATTTAACCGACCCCACCCCGGGAGAAATCCAATAATAGCTCTCTCTCTCCCCGGTTGCGTGAAACGCGCCCGGCAAAATAATTTTCCCTCGGAACGTGCCTCACTATCTCCAACACGGTGTATCATTCTTTAAAAAGTAGAACAGCAAGCTGCGACTAAATTATTTTGTAATCCCCGTCTGGGAAAAAGATGCGCCGCTGCAGGAGGAGCTTCGCGGGACGCATAACAGATTTCAGTTTCACAGTTTCTATCATCCGAAGATGATAGAAACATTTACACGTGCATAATATTAGATCGATATGCACGGTATCGGCTTCGCAAGTTAGGTGAACTAATTGAAAGCGCATCGTTGTCAGAGAATAATTTCTGGCATCTTTTAGACGGAATAATCAAAGATGCATGATCACAAAAAAATAATTTCTGGCAATTCTCGGACAGAGTAGTTGAACATGCACAATTTTAAGAAAATAATTACTGGAAATTCTCAGACAAAGTAATTGAAGATGCACAATTTTAAGAAAATAATTTCTGGTAATTTTCGGATAGAATAATCGAAGATGCACGATTATAACGAAATAATTGCCGCCAGTTTTTAAATAAAATACTCGAAGCTGTACAATCTTAAGCAAACAGTTTCTGGTAATTTTTGGATGAGATACTTGAACATGCACAATTTTTAAAAAAGACTGTTTCTGGCAATTTTTAGAAGGAATACTTGAACATGCATAATTGCAAAAAAATAATTTCCATCAGCTTTCAGAAATCACGCTTGAATAATTAAGAATATTTATCCTCAAGAGAGGCTATGCTTGCGTAGAAGTAAAGTGGTCTCCACCAATTTTCCTCCAGAATACTATGAACGATACGTATTAACCTTGGCACGGATGAATACATTCTTGAACAACCAGAAATGATTTTCTCCGATCTCATTTGTTCATCGATCTATCCTAAACATTTTCAATCATCGAAATCAATACCTTCGCCGCTTCTCCGCGTCTCGAATCGTGCAGCAGCGGTTCAATTAATTGAGAAACAGGCTGCACACAATGCAAACGGGTCACCATTCTACGCCATCCTGTTACGAAAATTACATTTCAGAATCAGTCGACGTTCAGACGCCTCTACTTCCGTTATTCCGCTTCCGACCAGAACATGCTATCATCCTGTTTACTTCTACTCGATTGTGCTGAAACCGTGAGCTCGTCTAGCTCTTATCTTTCCGCCTCGTTCCCTCGAATTTTCCTTCGGCCTGGCACCGAGGAGCACAGAAGATTCTCGAGCTTATTCGCGGCTCGTCTTGCAGGATTATTTCACAAAGCGATCGCGCAGAGCGGGGTCGCGACGAATCCCTGGGCCATCTCGTCCAAGAACGTGAAGGACTATGCGGTGAAGCTGGCCGCGGAGCTCGGCAAAGATATCACCGATCCTGTGGAACTGGTCGAGTTTTTGAGGACCATAGAACCCCAGAAGCTCGTCGATGCCCAGCAGCAGTGTTTCAAAAAGCTGGTAAATTTCTCCCGAATTTTGTTTCCCAAGCAATTTCATTCCTTTCGTTTCCGAACATCTTCTCGAACACCGCGAAATTGCACACAGCTGCGCTTGAAAATGTTCACAGAAGAATCTGCCGATTTTTTTAAAATTTAATTAGATCAATTATTCCCAACGTTCCGTCATTTATATCTTCTCGAAAAAAGTTTTCTTCCCACGTAAAATATACGATTGTAAAATTAATTTCTACATATTTGAATTTATCGTAAAAAATGCTACATAAACATCATATATATTTCCAAAATTTTACTTTAAATAATTGCTGGTAGCTGATGTTCATCGGGTTGCCCCCTCCCCCTTGAAAGCTTCATTTTTTGGACGATCAGAAATGTCAGTCAGGGCAATTCGACTAAGGACGGGTTGTGCACGTCCCTCGCGTTCCCGAGTTTTCCAGCCGGAGTGCATTCCGTAACGGATGCCCGTAAAATTCGAATGGCATCGTCAACCGGGGGCTGTAATATCGTCGCAAAATCAAGACAGAAGCAACCGGCTAAAGAGCGAGGAAGCCGAACTTCTCGTTCAACGAGAACAGAACCGGAAGGTTTCTGAATCCAGTGTTCGTTCCATGAATGGAACGGGTTCCATTCGTCACTGTTGCTCGACCTTTACGGAGTTTACCTCTTGCGTAAGGTGACTCCGTTGAATGGTGGCGAGCTTCCGCGGGTGTATCGTCCTCGGGAACTCGAGCTTACGCTGTACGTGTTCAGTTTTTCAATTAACCCGGCCTTTCGGCATTACAGGCTTACCTCTCGTCGACAAAGGATTCAATACCGTGCCGGAATTCGGGCGGACACAACGGTGGTCGAGTTAACTCGTCGGTTTCCGTTGCATTCGCTTGGATTTCGCCATTGTCCGGGATTCTTATGCTGATTTCTCCGATAGCTTTTCTATTTACATTGCACAAGTTTATCTCCCCGAAACATCTAGACCAGAGCCCGATTTGATCGCTCCTCCATTTAATCTGTACAATCCGCGCTAACTGACAAGAGGAGGTCGCGGTCGTCGGATCGTCGATTCCGATTAAACATTTCTTTTTCTGAGCGAACGTAAGTCGCCCTATATCTTCGGCGAAAGCTCGTTATTGTAAGAGCTTGGAAAATGTTTGACACAATTGTCATTTTCTTTGGAACTTAATAGAATTCTCAATCGATTTTTTAAACAGTAGATAGACTGAAAATAATCTATTTATATTTTTTTATATTCTTAATAACAGTAGATAGACTGCAAATATTCTATTTATATTTTTTTATATTCTTAATAACAGTAAATAGACTGAAAATAGTCTATTTATAAATATTTCTTTATATTCTTAATAACAGTAGATAGACTGAAAATAGTCTATTTATATCTTTTTATATTCGTAATAACAGTAGATAGACTAAAAATATTCTATTTATATTTTTTTATGTTCTTAATAACAGTAGATAGACTGAAAATATTATATTCTGTCTCTTATACACATCTAGATGTGTATAAGAGACAGAATATAATATTTTCAGTCTATCTACTGTTACTAAGAATATAAAAAAATATAAATAGAATATTTTCAGTCTATCTACTGTTACTAAGAATATAAAAAAATATAAATAGAATATTTTCAGTCTATCTACTGTTACTAAGAATATAAAAAAATATAAATAGAATATTTTCAGTCTATCTACTGTTACTAAGAATATAAAAAAATATAAATAGAATATTTTCAGTCTATCTACTGTTACTAAGAATATAAAAAAATATAAATAGAATATTTTCAGTCTATCTACTGTTACTAAGAATATAAAAAAATATAAATAGAATATTTTCAGTCTATCTACTGTTACTAAGAATATAAAAAAATATAAATAGAATATTTTCAGTCTATCTACTGTTACTAAGAATATAAAAAAATATAAATAGAATATTTTTAGTCTATCTACTGTCTGTCTCTTATACACATCTAGATGTGTATAAGAGACAGACAGTAGATAGACTGAAAATATTATATTTATATTTTTTTATATTCTTATAATAACAGTAGATAGACTGAAAATATTATATTTATATTTTTTTATATTCTTATAATAACAGTAGATAGACTAAAAATATTCTATTTATATTTTTTTATATTCTTAGTAACAGTAGATAGACTGAAAATAGTCTATTTATATCTTTTTATATTCTCAATAAGAGAAAATAGACTGTAAATATTTTATTTATATTTATATTCTTAATTTTCGAAACAATAAAT